GACCACAAAAAAATCTGCAGGTCCCGACAATCTGGATCCTTGTCTTCTAAAGGTGGCGGCAGATGTTATTGCTGAGTCTATTACTCACATTTTTAGAGTCTTATGTCCAATTCAATACCCCAAATCTGGAAAGCTGCCTATGTTCTCCGCTTATTTAAAGGTGGGGACCCGCTCAGAGCTAAACAACTACCGCCCTCTCAATCCTGGCTAAGTTCCTTGAATCCCAGGTAAATTTACAGTTAAAACAGTTTTTACTTGATAATAATATTTTAAACAATTTTCAATCTGGTTTTTGAACTGGCCACAGTACCATTTCTGCTGCTATGGTGGTAATAAATGATCTTATTGGTGCCTTAGACAGGAAACAGCATTGCGCTGCCTTATTTGTAAATCTATCCAAGGCGTTTGATTCTGTGGATCATGAATTGTTGCTAAACAAACTTAGGGATGCTGGTTTCTGTTCTAATGCTGTTAAATGGTTTAGAAACTATTTTGTAGATCGGACTCAGTGTGTCCATGCAGAAGGCCACAAATCTGAGTTTCTTGAGATATCTAAAGGGGTCCCCCAGGGGTATATTTTGGGACCTATTCTGTTCTCTCTTTTTATATATGATTTAGGTAAGGACAGTCAAGCAAACATACACTTCTATGCTGATGACACTGTAATTTATACTCATGCTCCTTCCATAGCACAGGTTGTGCAAGAGCTTCAGACTGGATTTCAGTCATTACAAATCCTCAGTTTTAAATCCTCAGACAATAAATCTAGCTTTAATGTCAATGCCAAAAAAAACTTGTGGAAAACTTGTGGAAGCTACTTTTTGATTGATTATGGTGACATATTATACACGCAGCCTCCTCCATGTTACCGAGCCTTGATTCAGTGTATCATGCATCTCTACGCTTTATTACAAATGCAAAGTCCTCACTCACCATTGCATTCTTTATGATCTGGTGGCTTGGACATCACTGACCACCCACAGAAAACAGCACTGGTATATTTTTATATATAAAGCCATGCTAGGTAAACTTCCAGCTTACCCTGAGTAGGCGAGTGAGTGAGGACGCTGGCGTGTGTGTCGCCACTTCACAACACGCCGTTTTTCACAAAACCACTAAGTCACTAAGCTTCTTTAAGTTTAATGTCCAGCCAACTAGGATAAGGTGTGTTTGGATCTGCAAATATCTGTATTGCCAACTGCTCGGTACAACTGCGGCTCGGTAGCCTAACGTTACTCACCCATGCCAGCTAGCCATCAGGTGTCTGCCCCGGCTAGTGATCCACCACGGACAAACAATCTGAGATTATCTCTTCCGGTAGCACTGACTGGATGGTTTCACATTGGCTGGGTCTGCACAGCTCCAAGTGGTCCTTGTTTATCGCCCCCCAAAAACCTCCACCATCTTCATGGCCGAGCTATCAGAGCTACTCATCTCCATTAGCTCCACGTCTCCATCCACACTCCTGTTCGGGGACTTCAATATCCATGTGGACTCTTAGCTGTCCGTTTGCTGCTGAATTCCTGTCACTATTGGACTGCCTCAACATCATTCAGCACATCAAAGGTCCCACTCACACCAAAGGTCACACACTGGATCTGGTGTGCTCCACTGGTACTACTCCCTCCCAGCTGCAATGCCTCGATCTAGCTGTATCTAACCACAGTGCCATCCTTTTTTATGTTCCAGTCCTTCTGCCCAGGCAATAACTCAAACGCACCATCACATTCAGGAACATCAAGTCTGTTAATGCGTCATCCCTAGCCAGCACTGTAGGCACCCACCTGGCCTCAAAACCCCCGGACCCCGGGTTGGATGGCCTAGTCACCAAATATAATACAGCTTTGTCTCTCAGCCTGGACTCTTTTGCTCCCCTCAAGACCCGGACTGTCTCTTTCTCCCGTCCTGCCCCGTGTTTCACTACTGAACTTCGCTCCATGAAGGCCACTGGTGGAAAAAGTGGACTCTATCCATCAACAACTGCTGCCTCCTACTCCTGACCCTCTACCCACAACTCACCCTCATGATGGTGCCCCCCACTCTGCTGCGTCCCTGCCACAGCACTGCCTCTCCTCCTTCTCCCTTCTGGACGCGGCTCAAGTCGTCAAGTTGGTTAACAGAGCCAAGATCTTGTTCACTGGACCACATGCCTACTGTCTTGGTCAAGGCATGCTTCTCTACCCTCTGTCCCATCATGGTGGACATCATAAACACAGCTGCCATTACTCCTATACTCAAAAAGCACAGGACCCGGATGACCTCAACAACTACCGTCCGATCTCCAACCTTCCCTTCATGAGCAAAATCCTGGAAAGAGTAGTTGTCGCCCAACTTCATCAACACATGTCCCACTATGATCTCTATGAACCCCTTCAATCTGGCTTCAGAGCACATCACAGCACTGAGACCGCCCTCATCAAAATCACTAATGACCTCCTCATCGCCACTGATTCTGGACATATCAGCATCCTCATTCTTCTAGATCTCTCTGCAGCCTTTGACACAGTGTCCCATACCATCCTTCTCAACCGTGTATCTGAATGTGTTGGCCTCACTGGTTCAGCCCTCTCCTGGTTTCAGTCATATCTCTCCAATAGGGAACAGTTCGTCACCTTTAGAGCCTCCAGCTCCCCCCTGGCCCCAGTCAAACAAGGTGTGCCTCGAGGCTCAGTGCTTGCTCCCCCTCGGCCAGATAATACATCACCATGGTCTCAGTTTCCACTGTTATGCTGATGACACACAGCTGTATATCAGCACCAAACCATCCACTCATCTTCCCCCTCTGTCACTTGTTAACTGTCTGACTGAAATAAAAATATGGATGTCATCCAATCTACTCAAGCTGAATAGCAGCAAAACGGAGCTAATGGTAGTAGCTCCCAAGCCGCTGCTCCTGAGGGTAGGCGATCTACTCCTCAAAGTGGATGGTTGCTCCATCTCTCCATCCCAAGAAGTCCGCAACCTTGGTGTCATCTTGGACTCCACCCTTTCCTTCCAGTGACATGTCAAACATATTACCAAATCTGCTTTCTACCACCTCAAAAACATCTCCAGACTTCGACCATCACTCTCAGACTCTGTGGCAGAGTCTATCATCCATGCTGGACTACTGTAATGGTGTCCTGTATGGGGTAGCCAGCAAGGTCCTGGAAAGGCTACAATATGTCCAGAACTCGGCTGCCAGGGTTCTCACACACACTAGGTCGTGGCAGCACATCACCCCAATCCTCACTCAGCTTCACTGGCTCCTGTTCAAATTCCGCATCACCTACAAAATCCTACTCTTCACCGATAAATAATGATAATAATAAAAAATCTTTACTTGTAGAGCACTTTTCAAAAACAAGTTACAAAGTGCTTTAACAAGTGTAATCACAATAATACCCAAAAGACAATAATACAAAAACAATACAAGATAAAAGCAAGAAAACATTGAAAAGACTAAAGTACACTTTTAAGATAAATATAAAATAAGTAAAATAGAATAAAATATAAGGGATAAAATGAAGTCAAATAAGATCAGGAAAGGCTCTCCTATAAAAGTATGTTTTAAGAAGGGACTTGAAAGAGTCTCGGGGCCCTGACAGCAAACGCTCTGTCCCCTTTAGTTTTCAGTCGAGACTCTGGAACAGACAACAGACCTCTGCCCGAGGATCTCAAGGTACATGCTGATGTGTATGGGACAAAAAGGTCAGAAATATAACAAGGTGAGAGGCCATGAAGAGCTTTAAAAGTGATCAATAAAATTTTAAAGTCAATTCTAAAACATACTGGGGACCAGTGTAAAGAAGCTAACACAGGGGTAATGTGGTCATATTTCTTTGTTCTGGTTAACGGAACCAGCAGATGGCAGTATTTGTTTTGCCATCTGCTGGGACCCAATGACCAGAATTTCTGTTTTGTCTGAGTTCAGCTGGAGGAAATTATTTGACATCCATTTTTTAACTTCACAAAGGCAGTTGTTAAGTGAACTCAGCATTCCAGGGTTTGTGGATCTGACGGGCAAGTACATTTGTGTGTCATCAGCATAAATATGAAAAGAAATACCATGTTTATGGATAATATGTCCAAGGGGAAGCAGATACAAGGAAAACAAAATGGGTCCTAAGACCGACCCCTGAGGAACACCATATTTAACTGGACAGAACGATGAGACATAGTTGTTTACAGACACGCAAAACTTCCTATTTGTCAGGTAGGATGAAAACCATTCTAAGGCAGTAACAGAGATCCCCACCCAGTGCCTCAGTCTGTCTAACATGATGTTGTGATCAATTGTGTCAAAAGCAGCACTAAGGTCCAGGAGTATAGAGAGATCCAGTGCATAGAGAATCCCACAAACTGACCTGTACTTATGCAGGAACATCAGATGGTAGCACAGATATCAGTTGGATCTGACAAGCTGAAGGAAAAGGACTGGAGTGGGTTGCTTTCATTTCTGCCCCGACCAGAGGCACTAAAGCTTATTCCACGTCAGTCCAGAATCGCTTCAGTATTTCCAGGGACAATGATGTGCACCAGGTGTTTCTGCAGATGAACAGCTTGACGACTGAAGATGGGTGTTTATTATTGTGCTCAAAGGCTCAGCGATACAGGAAGCCTGTGGTTTGTGTACAGGAGCTGTACACAAACCACTGCAGATGTTACTGTGACAGTCACTGATACAAAGTTCTGTAAAACCACTTTATACAAGTTGTTTTAAAATGTGCCCTAATTCTATTCTACTACAAAGAGTGGAGTTTATACACCATCGGGTTGATTGTCCCTTCTTATGAAACTGAGCAGAACTTTATATGTAAAAAAAAAATGATCTTAGTCCTTCTTGACCCTTCATATCTACTGATGGCTGCCAAAAAGACCAAATTAAAAAAAGTTTGAATCTAATTTAAACATTCATCATTTTGATCACTTTAATATTTGCATATTTATATTTACCCAGTGCTGACGACATAGGTCCCCTGACTCTCCAATGTAGGAAACAGTGTTTGGTTTTTGTATTAGGGTTACTCACTGTGATGACTTGGGGGCACTGTGATATATTCATACAAAAACTTAAGAGTAATAATCTGACACTCTGCCTTTCTTGTGATGGAAAAAAGGACAGGACAAAGTATTTCTCATTGGAATATGAGGTAACTACTGTGTTTATCATTTTTAACAAGAAGATCAGTACTTAGTATTAAGTTAGTAGTTTAAAGTCACAGTTAATGCCAAGATGTAAATGTTACCATCCAGTAAATCTTAACTTAAAGAACTGATTAAGAATCATCACAAACCACATAGATGACACCAGGATCCAATGTTGACTGGGATTTCTGTGTATTTCATACACTTAATGAGCTTTTAACACATTTTACTGGTACACGAGGTTTTTGTACAAGCAGTGAGTGGAGATGCAGCACTGTGATTACTTCACTACTGGGGTCGTGGGACTGAAGTCACAGTATCTACAGGTAAGACACATTTAAATTATATATTTACTGACTAGTTTCTTTTTCTTTTATTAATATAAATATTGCTGGTGAAGAGGTTTACATCATGGTCTTATTTCAGTTCATGCTCATGTTGGACAAACTAGAAAACAGAGCAGCCAGATGTTTTTAACGCAGCTGTTTCTTAGAAAGTGTTTGAAAAAGTTCTTGTTTGGAATTATCGCTTAATGCAGGAGGTGGTTTGACTTGATTTTAAAATGTATTCAGTTGGATTAGAATTGCTGCTGATGAATGTCTGTATCTTTTTATTCACATTATTATTCAATACATTTTATTACTGTGAACAGTAATTATATACCATACAGCACCATACCTACATTTTGTTTTGTAAGAAGTTTCCCTTCAACATAGTAATATATATTTTCTTTGTGTGTTTAAATACAAGTTCAGTACGCGTTGTTTCAATTAAACAACAGAACACTGAACAAAGATATAATGAAGTACATTGTGTTATATAGCATGTTACGTAGTAGGCTATAGTATATAATTTAATTTGAAATACCACAGGGATGACTTTTAAAGGACAGTATGCATTTGCACTTAAGGTTTTTAGAGGAATCATTTCACATCAACAATCTGTAATTCTTCCCAAAAACATTTTTAGGTTTTTTGATTCACTGTTAAAAATAGCATAAAATCATCATCAGAAATAATTTAATACATTAATTATTATTGTTATATATTATATTGACCCTTGATCCCACAAAGCAGCAGTTGTGGTTTTGAATGTTGGTGGAAGCCGTTGCTTTAACACGCTCAGCTCTGGTCTGTTTATCTGTGTGCATACGAAAAGCACAAATAATAATAATAAATGTGTTATAGTGCTAACTTGTTGATGATTTATATAATCCATTATATTAAGATTATTATTCAGTCTTTTGTATTAGGTACTATAAAAACAGTATTTTAAGCTTTTTAAGATCAACCCAGTGTTGTTTAAGAAAAGCTCACATCCTACAACAATGAGGCTTTTTCATATTTACAGTGATGCTGATGCAGTTACAGTCTTTACATGTTTCTAAAGATAAAATAAAGTGTTTAATATTATACCCAAAGTGTTCAGCATTAATTAAATGTTTTAATCATTTCTTAAATTAGTTCACAATTTCATGTATGTATGTCACATGTATGGTAGTTATTATGATTAAACACTGAACACTTTGGGTTTCCATATTTTAATTCTGAGTTTATAGATGAGCAATTGATTGTCTGTAGCAGTGTTTCCATCAACGTTTTTCTGCGCATTTTGAAGTATCGCATTAGAAAAGGTTAATGGAGACGGCAAAATTCTAAAAAAAAAAATCCTCAGTTTTGCAAAAAGGTTTTTACGCTCGCTTCAGGTGGTTTTTGCCTTTGTTGAAAAAGAGTAAATGTGCTAAATGGGAGATGGAATCACTTTTGCCGAATAACTTCTGATGTAGCGAACTTGTAACTCACATCTCATCAGCTGTTTCCACTGTCGTTTTGCCCAATATTCCCATAATGTGCGGAGAGATGGCTTATAGGAACTTGCCCGCTCGAAACACATTCCTGAGGACCTGTCCATTTTTCTAAGATCAGTGGCCATCAGTTCCATGTGACTGGTTTTGCTTCTGTTTTGGAACACATAGGCCCTATATCTTGTTTATTAACGTCAACTACTGACGTAGCTACGCTTGCCGTAACCTGGTTTATTCACTCCAAACTCACTGATGGAAACACACCTATTTCACATTTAGTTATTTTTTCATTTTTGTAACATTTCAGAAGTCCCCTTAAAATTCGCATGACACTTAGATGGAAACATGGCTTGTGTAAATTGATGCGCATTTGTTATTTTAAACTTAACAAATCTCCTCTTTGAAAGGAACTGCACCGACTCTGTTCCCTTTGGTTTAGTGTAACTCTGGGACTGTGGATAAAATTACTCTTGGTTGACTTCCACCCAAAGTGTACTTTCCAGTGGACCGATGCCACACTTGGCAAATATTTAATTAACAAGTGATTAATTACGTTTAATCAAAGAGTAGTAAATATGCAGTATTACATATTAGTGCCACTGTATGAACTCAGATCAAATCTGAACTAAAAAAACAACAAAAAAATCAATAGGACATTATTCATTACAATGATTTTTGGGCAGCTGTGTCTCTTTTTGCTTTCATCAGTCAAAGGTTATTATGTTTATTGCAATTTTCAGCTATTTATTGATTTATTAGTAATTTATTACATACATAGCCTTCAAATTGGGGTTGTAAGGATTGTATTGATGTATGGCATATGAAAATAATCCAAAGATTGACAGTACAGCATGAAAAAATACTTAGATATGCTCTGGCGGAATTGTTCTATGGCAGGTCATAAAGGGTTTGATTGGATATATTATTGTCATGGTGATTACATGGTCATAAAGATAACAAAGGAGCATGTTAATCTCTTTATCAATAATTGAAGTCAGAGTTTAGACAAGCTATTGATCATCTGTGCTATTGTATTTATATTTACATGTTTTGACACTTTCTCAGGAACACCCACACCACCAACACCACCCACTCTGTTCCCTTTGGTTCAGTGCCAACCTGGGTCTGGAGATAAAATCACTGTTGGTTGTTTTGCACGCGACTTCTACCCAAAGAGTCTTACATTCCAGTGGACCGATGCCAGTGGGACCACCCTGACTTCTGAAAATTATCCTCCGGCTGAGAAAAACAACAAATATACAGGAGTCAGTTTGGTCAAAGTATCAAAATCTGACTGGGATTCAAGGAAGTCTTTTAAATGTTCTGTAAATCACAACGGATCTCCCACAAATCTGCAAGTGCAAAGTATGTGATTTTTCAATTTACTAATGTCTATGATTTCTTATCAATATGTCCTCCTCATTCATCCTGCTTTTATCAATGAATGTAGAGCAATATTTATTCCCTCACATTTTCCTTTGTCTGCCTGAAACACACAGCACAATCATCTTATCACTTTGCAGGCGAATGATACAGAATACTATCGCAATAAATGACTATAACTGCTTTTTCCTTCACCTGTTCAGAGCCTATTCCTCCAAAAGTGACTTTGCTATCAGTGCCAAGTGAAGGCACCCAGGCCCTGGTGTGCACGCTTGAGGGCGGTAATGGAAAACTTGATTCATTCAAGTGGAAAAAGAATGACGCAGAGTTGAACGACTACATTCAAAGTCCCATCCAAAAAACTGGAGACTTATATTCAGCTGTCAGTGTCCTGAAGGTCAACAACGCAGACTGGGACAGTAACTCTGTGTATACCTGTGAGGTGACTTACAGAGAAACACAATATAAAAAGAAGGCCTCAAAAGGTGCAGTGCTACAAAGGTTATCACTAAATAGTGAGATAAAGTAGTTTATGCTGGATCTTGACATAAATTCCATGACACAGTTTGTCTAATCGTCCAAATGTTGAAAAATGGTTCTGACTACATTGTTCTCTTTTATGTAGGTTCTTCCACAGTAACTCTGAACCAACCCAGTGCCAAAGGAATTTTTAAGAACAAACAGGCAGAGTTGGAGTGTATCATTACTGGACAGGACAAGACAATTTTAAATACAATTCAAATCACTTGGCAAATTGATGGACTAGATGTGACCAACAACATTGCTGAATCAACATTGTCCAGCGGCATTCAGCACAGCAAAACCAGCACAATGACTCGTAGTCTGTCTGAGTGGCAGAGAGTCAACAAAGTGCGCTGTTCTGCCATTAGAGACGATATGACTCCAGTTATTCAAGATCTGACTGTCCACAAAGGAGGTATGTTACTGAGTGATGGAGACTGATTGGTAGAACAGTAATCTGTAGGTCTGGGGAGGCAGCAACACATAATCTGTTTATAGCAAAAATAAAAGCATATATATGAACCTTGTTGGCGTCTCTTTCAGATGGGAGTGAGCCAAACGTGACAGTCCATGTCCTCCCAGAGGAGGACATCAGCAAAGGAGCTGAGGTCTCTCTGGTGTGTCTGGTCTCTGGTCCTGTGCTGCAGGATTACTACATCGCCTGGTCAGAGGGAACTGAAAATAAGGCCGGCATCTATATGGATGGCATTAACTTCCCCCCACAGAAGACCCAACATGGCTACTTAGTTACAAGTATTTACACCACCACCAAGGAAAAGTGGGACAAGCACAGCATGTTCTACTGCAACGTCTGGCCTGCTGGTAGAAGTGTGTCTGTGAAACCCAAAGGAGTGTCTAAGGCCCAGGGTAACTCAATTGAATGTAGAAAATAGTAGATTCAACTATAAATGTGGTATTTCGTGCTAACATGCTGCTCTGTCTCTGTGTGTGCTCTCTGCCATGGGAACCTGTGCACTCTGTGACGTCATCATTTTATGTAGCTCCTGTCACAGTGACACTGAACCAACCCAGTGCCAAAGAAATTTTCAGCAACAACAAAATAAAGTTGGAGTGTATCATTACTGGACAGGACGAAACCATTGTAAATGAAATTCAAATCACTTGGCAAACTGATGGACAAGATGTGACCAACAACATTGCTGAATCAACATCGTCCAGCGGCGTTCAGCACAGCAAAACCAGCACGATAACTCGTAGTCTGTCTGAGTGGCAGAGTGTCAACAAAGTGCGCTGTTCTGCTATTAAAGACGATATGACTCCAGTTATTCAAGATCTGACTGTCCACAAAGGAGGTATGTTACTGAGTGATGGAGACTGATTGGTAGAACAGTAATCTGTAAGTCTGGGGAGGCAGCAACACATGTCATAATAGCAAACATAAAGTATATATATGAACCTTGTTGGTGTATTTTTCAGATGGGAGTGAGCCAAAAGTGACAGTCCATGTTCTCCCAGATGAGGACATCAGCAAAGGAGCTGAGGTCTCTCTGGTGTGTCTGGTCTCTGGTCCTGTGCTGCAGGATTACTACATCGCCTGGTCAGAAGGTTCTGGAAATAAAACTAGCAACTATAAGGATGGCATTAACTTCCCCCCACAGAAGACCCAACAAGGCTACTTAGTTACAAGTGTTTACACCACCACCAAGGAAAAGTGGGACAAGCACAACATGTTCAACTGCAACGTCTGGCCTGCTGGTAGAAATAAGGCCATGGAACCCAAAGGAGTGTCTAAGGACCATGGTGAATCACTTGAATGTTGAAAATAGTAGATCCAGCTTTAAATGTGGTATTTTGTGCTAACATGTTGCTCTGTCTCTGTGAATCTGTGCACTCTGTGATGTCATCAGTCTTTGTGATTGTAAAAATAGGTGTTAACATGTTAATATAGTTTTGTTTGTCGTCATTTTGTGTTTCTGTCTTTGTCACATTGTCTAACAGCTTGAGAAGTGTACTGACTGTTTCAAATAAATGCTGCATAGAGACACTTGTTATATGTTCATGAATGACTTAAATTTTTTTTAAACACACTGAAAAGCACAAAGTCACAGTAGCATACTATATATTCATATGGAGAAACGTCCACACATGATGTGATCAAACAGTGAATAATGCTCAATTCTAGCTTATGAGTATTATTATTATGAGAAAAAGGTGAACGTCTTTTTCTCTCTTTAATAGTGCTTAAAAATGTGTTATCTTAATAAAGAAATTCTTTGTTAACACACACACTCACACACACACACGCACGCACACACATCATCTAACCACCTATACCTTCCTCTTCTTAGATTCTCCTCCAGATTTAAAACTGAGTTTGGCTCTGAGCTGCATAGAGGATGCCATTGAAGAGGATGAGTTCAGCAGTCTGTGGTCCACAACCTCCTCCTTCATATTCCTCTTCATATCCTCTCTCTTCTATAGCATGATATTCAGCCTGGTCAAGGTAAACATGCAGGGCATTTCTACATTTCACTTATACTCAGGACTAAAGACTGCATTCCATATAATGCAGGATTTATATATTCTATGAAAATAAGTATACAGTTTGATTGAGTATGGTACAAGTTATAAAAAAAAGCCCAGTCGCATCAACAATAAAAATGCCAAATTAATGAGAAACAATTTGGGCCGACAGATTCTTTACATCTTCACAGACAAGAATGTGCAGGAGAAGAGTTAGTGATTTTCTGTGTGTTTGTGACAGACTGCCAACTTTTCCAGGTTTGTCCAGTTTGTGCAGTGCACATGATCCTGAAAAGGGAGACCATGATATAATGATAATATAATATATGTATATATATATATATATATATATATATATATATATATATATATATATATATATATATATATATATATATATATATATATATATGTATATATATATATATATATATATATATATATATAATGATAAATACATTCAGATTTAATTATAAATATGTAATTGTTCGTCAGCAATATCTGAAACATTAACTGGTATCAAATAATTCTTTCTGACTGGAGAATTGCTCTATCTGGCCATAACAAACACTGTCAAGTAAAATAATGTGATATTACAGGGTTTTTTTGTTGATTTTGATGGAGACAATCACACAGTAAAGTGGTGTGAACGGTACCTCTTCTCTCTCTCTCAATTCAATTCAATTCAATTCAAATTAGCTTTATTGGCATGAATGTGTAACAACAATATTGCCAAAGCATCATACATACTACATAAGAACAATCAACCCCATACATTTCATTAAACAAGTAACTTGTTTAATGAAAAGTAACTCTCTCACTCTTTTCTGAACAGAGTTTAATGGCACAGCCATCCAGCACGTTTAAAATGCTGCACTGCACAAAGTAATATATTAGCTTGTATATTAATTTATTGAATTAAACATCACAAATACCTTCTTCAAATAACAAATCACACGTAGTTACAGGGTCCTGGTGTCTGAAGATAAACATTTTTATGTAAGTTCTTGAAAAATGTTCTTGAAAGAACACCAGTCGCCTTCAGAAAATCTGCTGGCCACAACTATCTACTGTATGAAAGATCATTGGCTTCAGTTCTCCAGCTGGGTGAAACTCCAGATTGATGTGATCAGTCAAACCTTACCACTGTTTAACAATCTGTATTTGACAAGTGTTCTAATTGCATTGATTTTTTTTTTTTCAGATGAAGAGATAAAGGATGATGTGGATGGGTAGCATAAGACGACTTTTGCAGAGACTCTCGTTTGTATTTTGTATTTTTCTGATCTAGTTTTAAAAACTTGGACATTATTGAACATCTACTAAATAAAGTGGTCGTCATATTTAATGACTAACAACAATAAAAATAATAAAACATTGAAAATGGATTTCTGTAGAACAATGAAAAATACAACTGCAATTCTTAACTGTTTAAATGAATAAGTTTGGATTGTTATCACATTGTGATACAGAAGTTATTGATTACTTACAATTATAGTGTTATTAAAATGTTAAAATTTGTTTGTGAAGTGTAGCATTAACTTGTCACTGATGTAAATAACACGCATGGTAGAAATAGATTCTATATGTTGTTTTGCATTTTTTAGTTTGACCATAAATCTTTGCTTTTCATGTTTGGTAATTCTGTTGATCTTTTTTGAATTCATCACTAACTGAATAGATGATACTTGCAAATACACTAGATGTAATTTGGATAGACAAACATTAAAGGGAGTATGAATATGATTGATGGTGTGCTTGTTATAAACAAAGCATCTGTGACATCTAAAAAAACACCACATCAAGTCAAAATACTGTAAACATCTGTTATCAGTTAGAGTCTGAAGGTTTTTCAATTTCCTGGAGCTTCTAAACATATCATCTTTAGAGAGTCACTTCCCTCTTTCTCTGCACCTCTGGGACCGCACCTGTATCAGTGAAACTTTGTAGAAACTGTCAGAGCTACAAATAAAGTTCCTCGAGAGTGAGACTCCTCTTTCACGGCATTTATTAGCATATCAGCATGTATCCAGACAGGAAGTGGCTAACATGTGTACAGCAGGCACACATTCTCAAAGACAAAGGCAACACAAAAACTCTTCAGAAAAGTGTCATCGTATGCATTTTCACAAATGTGAAATACCATGAAGAAGCAAGATAAATTATGCACACACATGCAGGGTAGAGACTAAACAAGGCAAACATCCCAGATGTTAAGGATAATCAGGAAAATGTACTTAAAGTGTTAAAAGTAAAAGTACTCAAAGCAGATAGAAAACTGTTCCCTGTGACTGTTACTATTATGTATTATTACTTCTTCTTACTATTCTTATCTTACTATTACTAATCCATCAACGTAAAAGCAGGATGTCGTAATTTGTTGAGGTTAAACTATTTTGCATCAGACTGCAACTAATGATTATTTTCATTATGGAAAAATCCACTCAATTGTTTACTACATTAATCGATTGTAAAAATTGTCACAATTGCCCAGAGCCCAAAGTGACCTTCACAATGCTTGTTGTGTCCGCCTAAACCTAAAAGTGATTAAAAATACATTAAAATAAGAAAGAAAGTAGAATCATGATGTGGCATGAAAAGAAAATACCATCCACACTGGTACAGATTTAACAAGGCAGAAATACCAGATATAGTACAATTATATGTGTGCTTACTGTATGTTGTTTGTTTTCTGTACAGAGTTGTCAGTTCATGGCTGATATAGAAATGGATAGTTTCATATTAGTGATCTTGTTGGTATCTACAGCATCATGGCAGAACACAGCAGAATTAGAAGTCTTTGAGCTCTTGTATGATGAGTTTGGCCTCATGACTAATTCCTTTTAGTTATGTCTGGGGAGCTCCCAACTGTCAGGCTAAAGACACGATCAAAACCTTAACGGTGGGGGCATTTTACACAAATGAATGAAGATACGGCAGAGCAATATATGACAAAATAGCAGTTAATACCATATTGAAAGATTTAGAGAAAATGCTCTACATATGATGCACTAATTCGTCAGCACAGTTATCATCTAATCATGTATTCCATTATTATATAAATACCCTATTTTGCTGTTTAATTTAACCATTTTAACTACAGCAATACTTTCAATGTACATGTGAAATGAGCTTTGCACAGCTTGTACTACTAGGGCAGGGGTCCCCAACTACTTTTGATCAAAGGCCAGAATTTTTCTAAGCAGACGCTGCGAGGGCCGGATTTTCAAATTATTTATTTTTTATTTAGGTTTAATTAGCATAGGCTACTAATGTGTAAAATTTTCAATTTCAAAAAATAAGTGTTTTTTATTATAGCTGTGAAAAGACTCTTAGCCTGCTTAATTAGAAATTGCTTTCAGACATTCACTGAGAAGGCTGTTCATTGAGGAGTGATGGTTGAAATCTGTAATTGTAAATGTAACTGCAGGATGCAGTTCTGTTTGGCAAGAAATACTGACCAACCATTTTTTACTAATGTAATTGCAACATTATTGTGCATGTAACAACTGTAGGCCTAGTTACTGGTGGTTACAGCAAATGAGGGTAAATTGGCCTTCTTCTTCTTCAGGTCACAGAAGTCTGAGGCAGATAAAGAAACTATTATTAGGGATTGGTCTTTTTCCATATATATATGAGCAGTCATGATCTGACTTTATTCTGCACAAGACGAGTCTGCAAACAGCGAACATGAAAAGAGTCGGTTAACGTTACTTTGCTGAGAAGGTGGAGGTGTGCAGCCTGCATTACTCACTGCAATATTTCAAACTGGCCCGCTGTCATAAAATGTTGAAAATGACCGAAATAACCTTGTTTTGTAGACGCATTTCTTTAAAACTATAGCAGTCAGCGCTAATCTCACTCACAAAAACATTGCATTTGCTGTACTTCTGAAAATAAGTACACTTGTGTTTCGACAGTTAAATATTTTTAATGTGAAGCTGCAGCAGTAGGCCTAAATGTTCAGTTTGCGTTAGCAGTAACCGGGAATTTCACTACAGATGCACAGCTTCTGATACTGCAATTATATAAATATTGCAATAATTCCATCGTTGGCCATTCTACGGGCTGGATGGGAAGCTTTGGGGGGCCGGATATGGCCCGGGGGCCGCCAGTTGATGATCACTGTCCAATTTGTATTGGATTGTATTGGATGTAAACTTGTGTTTATTTATTTCATTCTTTATAGTTATTTGTTTGTTAGTTATTGTATAATGCATTCAGTTATTCAGGGACGTGCACAGACATTTTGAGGGGCTCAAGTGAAAAAAGGGCACTTCTTATATTTAGAATTAATGATGACACCAAGGAAAGGGTCATTAAAATGAATTTTTTAAATACTTTTTTTTCACATGAAAAATACCCTTCAGCTTCACACAGCCAAGCAACAGAATACTGACTTGCCTGACTACATTAATGTATTGATCAAATACATTATCATTATTGCCATTATTATTACACACACACACGTGATAAGGACTTTGTTTCACATTTGAGGGAGGGCTGTCTATATCATGTAAAGATATATCAGCATACAAATTTATAGAATAGATAATTATTAGATGAGGAGCCCATGATCAAAATGATGAAGTTACTGGACCCTTTTTTCAAGTATGTATATTTTGCTTCCATGTCTTCTTTTACTTTAATGGAAAACAGACTTACAAAATACACATTTAGATGGAGTTTGTTTGAGCCTATTACCCTCTGTTTGTTTGCATTTGAAGATTTCTTTTAAATAAGCCAAAACAAGCTAATCTGCATATTTAAATATTCAGGGGAAAGCCTCTTGATGTAAATCATTAACTGGGGAAGTTCTGAGGTCATATGCTTTAGTTATTTTTTATGTCTGCAAACAATCACTTGCAATGTCTCCATTAAGTAGGCTACAGTACATTAGCCTGTATGACCATGATATATTGCCTTAGCTAAACTTTAGCTTACTTATTAGATAGTTGCCTAGCTCATGAGTCATGCCTGTTAGCAAGACACAAGTTAACTATGTTTGTCTTTTGGCTAATTAACTGAGGCACTGGTAGTTTAGTCTTTTGTTCATCACCACTCACCTCCAGTCTATGCTACACACAAGCCAAGACAACCACAACTGGGAGAGAAGCTGGGAGGGGCTGCTGCTGTCTGTCTGTGTGTGCTGCACACCAGAAAAAAGGGCACTTTCTCTTGTATAAGAAAAAGGACAGGTGCTCAAGCCCCTTTGATGTCTATGTGTGCACATGCTTGCAGTTATTGTATAGTTATTGTGCTGCAATTGATTCATTTCTATATTTCACTCTGTGTATTATGTAAGACTTTTAAACTAAAAAACTAAAAAAATATATCCTGAGAATATCTTGAGAATAATACCAAGCTATCATGAACAAATACATTTGATAACATTTTTAATTTCAGGTTGTTAATGTGTAAGAGGGAGATTTTGGTTTATGTTCCAGCTGGTCAATAGAAATCAGAAACGTGAGTATAGACTACCATCTAGTGGCAAAATGCTTTAGGAGGATTCACTCTGTCACTTGGTCTTGATGCAGTAAATTGATAAGAAATGTGACTGGAAATACAAAACACTATGTATGTGAGAGGATTACAAGATATTATTTTTCTGCCACTGTTATGGCACTATGGCACATGACATAAAATCAGCAGTAAAACACAACCACAAACAATAACCATTAACTCATTTATTTCTTTATCCAACTCATCCAAGTTATATTGATCCTGAAAGCTGTCCCAACATTCTTGCTCATCGCAGGAAAACACCAAAGTCCATCACAGAATGTAGACAGTACAGGGGGCAGCACCCGATCTGCTGACTTAAATTTGCCAATTTCGCCCTTTTATGTCCAAACATCTGTTGATTTGTTGCTATAAATATCACTGGGCGCCATTTTGATTATTGTGAAATACCTGGGAGCTGTGCCTGCCTTCTCTCGCCTTTTTCTGCTGAGCAGGAGAAGTGCCGCTTTGGAACACACAATCTTTTTTGCGGTCTGGTGGCAACCTGTAATAGCTACAGCACAGTAGATAGATCAGGTAGATCAGATAGATCAATTGAAAGGTCTGCTCAATCCGGATCGATTGATGCCCCCCCGCCATTACTGTGGGATGTTCCCTTCTGAAGTTACACGCCTGTAAAGCAGGGGGTGCTTTTGGTGAATATTCACTGTTTATCAATCTTTCTGTCAGGGTTTGAGGTGTGTGCAAAGCAGATGAGAGCCCAAATGCAGGACACAGGAGCGGAGCAGGATATCGGGCTTACAGGCAGTTGAGGAATCCAAACTCCAACAGACCAAGCAGCAGAGGAACATTTATACACCAGGGACTAACGAGCAGGCGGGAGCAACACAGGCGAGAGGGTTCATGACTAACAAGACAGGAAGGCAGAGAGACAGCAGGGGAAAACAGAGAGACAGGCAGGCAGAGGAATTACTGGGCCCCATTTCAGAAAGCAGGTTCAACAAACTCTGAGTGTAAGCTTGAACTCTGGGTTGACGAACTCTGAGCTGTCAAACTCAGATTTTCCGGTTTCAGAACAGGTGTTTAAAATTCGTCCAACTCTGACTATATTGAACCTTCTGGAAGCGCGTGCGTGGGGGATGAAAAAACGGCATCATCAATGGAGCTCCAATACTACGATTCACCATGGCAATGGGTAAATAAAGGCAGAGTCTCTGTTTTAATCGGGTGGAGCCAGAAATATGAATGCATGCCAACGCGGACCATGATTGGCTATAAAACGCAGGAGTGGAGGAAGGATCGATACGTTAACAATATTACATTTTATACAGCGTTGCGCATTCATCATTTACCAGACTGGAATTTCCTGAATGAATGATAAAGTGCTGGGATTCTCCTACAGTTTGTTATTCATTTTAAATAGGCTACAGGCCTATTCAACCGTAACCTGACGGGACTAAATGAAAATATTAATCGAACAGATTAGACATAGTTTAGGTTACTCAAGGACCTGTGATTGTAAAGTAACAGTCCAACTCAGTAGGCCTATGCCTATTAATGATTTTTTTGCAGTGGAAAATGTGTCTAGGTTCAAACTGACTGTGAAGTTTTAGACGTCTATGTTACATTAATAAAATCTTGCCCATTTCATATTTTATGAAATGCTGTCAAAACACATTCAGACTATCAGTAGATAATGAAAAACTCACTTTTAAACTACATTTATTTATTTCAGCTGCACCACAGTCATCCTCATTTAGAAATATTCACATCATATCCAGTTGATAACTACGATAGGAATGTTCAATCAGTGCGACTACAAGATGAAAGGTTACAGTTCATTCATCAGTTTTATACAGATCAGTTTAAACAGTAAGTTTAAAAGTGTTTTTGTGCAACTGTTGCCAACCTAACAGCTGCCTTAATGTCCACAGAGTCACTGTGTTAGCCTATAAAGGACAGTGTAGCTTATAGATTTTATTCTGGGCTGAGGATAAATTTACAATGTCCAAAGAGAACTCTCTGTCCATACATGACAGATTGATCATAAAAGCGTTCATGTTCAACGTCATGTTTAGTTAAAAAAAAAAATTAATAGTGTAGCAGACCTAAATTTATTAGTTATGCATTTTAATAAATTTATGAGAATTGATACCCAATTATGAATTAATATTCATAAAATCAAAATTTCCTCGTTAAGGGCACCACCGGAGTTGTTATAATCCTAGAGTCTCCGGACCTCTAGGTAGTTTTGAATAATTATACAATTATTACTAGTGATCAGTTAGTTAATAATCGCTCAATTATCTTAAATCAGTCAGTCAGTCTCATATCTAAAGGGTCAATTCTCTTGGCAGGAACTAGAAATAGGCAACACACACAGCTCTTGATTATATTACAGTGAATTTATTCTCTAACTAAGGTGATAAAAAGATGGTTGGATACAGGGAACATAAACATTTGCTGAACAATGAGCCTGGAGGTTCGATTGTGGGAAGCATTTGACTCATACGGCATAGAAGAGCTACTGAAAGTAAACTAATGCTATAATTTAGGAGTTAAAATGGACATCTGATCACAATACGTGTGTTAAGTCTTACTGCTTGTCGACAGCCTGCTTTTGGCCTGTTGCACGGGTCCCACGCTAGCTGCCGATCCTGGCTTTTTGCTAGGGATTCTCCGGGGTTCTCCGTGTCTGATTGAAACGTCTCCTCCGTCTGGCAATTCGGCTGTTTGCAGGTTTCCTTCGTTGTAGCTGGCGAGACCACGTGGCTTGGTCTGACCTCGGTGAAGTTGGCTCGACGAAAAAGGCTTAAAATGGAACTTAGTCGTTCCTGAATTAGTCCAGTGTAACGGACTTATAACTTTAACAAACAAAAGAAATAAAGAAATTAAAACAAACTGAAGGCAGATCGATGTCGCAGCACTTCAGGTGTGTAGCTTCAACAAAAGGCCTGTTTCGTTGGCCGAGTCTGGGCGTTGCCTGGCGAGGCACGCTGCGCGTGCCGAAGCGTCCAGAGGGCCGAGCAGAGTGGAAGAAAGCCAACAGCGAAGAGAAGAG